AGGCAATATTAATCCAAGACTTTTTTTTTTTCAAACACAAACAATGCTCTCAAAACACAGTGCCCATGGCATGTGATAGCAGGGATCAAACCAGGGTCCTTGCACTTGCCAGGCAAGTGCCTACACTGCTGAGCCACCTCTCCAGGACCAGTGCCTTCTTTGAAACACATAATATGAACTTAGAGATAGCTGTGCTCATTCTGTTTAGACTGATGACCAAGGCAAAGACAGGTGATGAGAGGATAGTGAAGCCCGCCACTCTCTTTTTGATTTTCTCTTCTTCCATGAGAATTGTCACTAAGAACCTAATATATTTCAGGCACTGGACTAACTTCCAGGGTACAAAGTTGATTAAAATTCAACAAACCTGCCTTTCCAGTGGAGAATTAAATGAGAAAATCAGTAACTAAAGATAGCAGAGGCACTGGGTGAGAGGGCAAGGGGACAGCTGTTTACTTAGAAGGTCAAGATTGTTGTTCCTTTGGGCATAAAATGCATTCAGATTTCAGAAACACTGCAGTGACAAAAAGGGTGTCACTGCAGTGTTTTGGTGTAGAGTCTTCCCAGTTACATGGTAATATCGAAGATGCATAGTTTTTAGTCATGGGAGATACTTCAAATTGAATAACATTGAGAGCTTAGTTTAATGGTTCTTTGTGCCCACCCTCATTCTCTATCCCATTTATGCCCATTGGGCCAGTCCACTAAATACTGGAACTACTGAAAATAAATTAGAGACAAAACCTTACTATTGAGAATAAAGGGACACCAAGTGGTGCACACATGGTATTGACAGAAAGGATATATTCAGATGTGAAGGGAAATGAGGGATTTGGGAAATGGTAGCAAAAGCAGCAGAAAAGCCAGAAAGCCAGATTTGGGAGTATACAGCTTTGGGGAATCTGGGGTGTGGATTGGTGCATAGAATCTAGCAATTCTTTTCAATAAAATTAATAAAAATAAAAAAGAATCTAGCAATTCTTAAAAACACAGTTATTTGAAAAGTGGAACTCCTTTGGTAAGCAGTTTGACAAATTTTGTATCAATAGAAGCTGTCAATATAATAATTCAGTGGCCAGGAAGATGGCTCAGTGGAATAAGTGCTTCCCTGGCAAGGGCCTAAGTTCATTCCCCGGTTCCTCAAAATAAATAAATAAATAAATAATAAAAAAAATTGCAAGTTATTTTCACAGTATTGTACCAGCCTTTTACACCATATTTTTAATTAATTAATTAATTAATTAATTAGAAGCAGGGTGTCATTATGTAGTGCAGGCTGGCCTTGAGCTCACTTATATAGCCCAGGCTGGCTCAGAGGTCGTGGCACTCCTGCCTCAGTCTCCTGAGTGCTGGGATTACAGGTGTGTGCCAAGATTACAACTGAGTTGTTTTTTTTTTTTAAGAGGCTTGAGTGTATTCAGCTAAGAAATGAAGAAATGAAAGAAAGAGTATCATTTTGTGGGCCTCTTAATGGATTAGCGGTTACTACCCCACCATCTCCCTGCTGTTAGAAGAATAAAACACCATCCATAAGATTGTCATGCCAGAACAATCAATCAGCCACCCTGAAATCCCAGTCAAAATCTGACTGAGTTTCTTTATTCAGCTGCCAACTTATAGGACCAGTATGGGTGAGTGGAGCACACGGTGGGGTGCCAGCAGCAAAAACCCAGCCATAAGAATTTGCCCGATGAATAACCTGTTTTCTTTAACATATAAATCATAAAAAGAAAAATCAGAGGGCAGATGTACAGACCTACACCATCCGATATAATAGCCAGGGGCTTCATACCCCTGAAATCTGTCAAAATTCAATAAAATTAAAAATGCTTCAGTTGCACCAGCCTAAGGAATATTAAAATCTCCTAAAAATATTAAGCTAACAGGGTAAGTTGAGCCAACTGAATAGCTGATGGTATTAAAGAACTATTTTTTCCCCCCCTAGGAAACGTTCTACATTTTATTTACATTTTAAGATTAATCTTAAAATCACATATCCATACACCTGTTTCCTTTTGTTGATTTCACCTAAACTTAAATGCATAGTTTATTTAACAAAGACTGTAAACACCTATTTACCATGTCTGTTACATGTAACACACAGGAACAACTTTTGACAGAAATTCATTGACTCCTCCCCCAACTTTTAAAATTATAAATACAGTTATCAAAACAGTCCTGAACATATTTTTGATACTACTAGTAGTCAGCACCCACACTGCTTCAAAGATTAACACAATTTGTGACAATATTAATCATACCTGCTATTTTGAGCAACTTCAAACTGCAGCTCTCTCACTAAGCGAGATGGATAAGCATGCCATTTGTTTTTCCTTCTTGGTGGAACCTCGATTGAACTCAGGCCCTTGAGCTTGCCAGGGAAGCGCTTATTCCAGTGAGCCATCTCCCCAGCCTTTCTCGTGCTTCCATCTTGTAAACCTGAACCTATGTGGAGTACTCCAGGTTCACGTTGAAATGACAGTGCCTCAACAAGAGAAAGAAAAATTGTGCTGCATTTTTCCTCCTGTTACCTGAAAACATAATGGGTGAACACTTATTAAATATATTCTCAAAAATGTCCAGGTCATGTTTATCAGCCAGAATTCTTTTTTTTTTTTTTTTTTCAGAACCAGGGATTGAACTCAGGCCCTTGTGCTTGCCCAGGAAACGCTTATTCTATTGAGCCATCTTCCTGGCCCCTTATCAGCTGGAATTCTTTTACTTACTGTGTAGGTATTTTGCATTGTAATATTTAATCAAGACATTAATATGAGTAAAAGGTTGTTGATTTAAGATAAGTTTGAGATTCACTAAAACTAATTGTATGTTTGTCCTTCTGGTGATTGTGGAAGCTTCATATTTTCTTTGGACATCATTAGACATCTTAGCTCCTGAAGTACAACTTTAACGCTATATGAATTTTGCCATTTTGCTAACACTGGTGTGCTGTTTGCCTCCACCATTCCACTGGAATTATTTATTCCATTCATATTACTTTTTGTTACAAATCTAACTGATGGAGGAGCTTCTGGGTATTTAGTCCACATTCTACTTTCAGGCTATATATTCTGTCCCCATAATTTGTCCTTGGTGGCCCACTAATCATGCCTGTCCGCCTCGTAAGTGTCATGTCTTCATCATCTTCAAGGCCCAGCTAACTGTACCATCGCCTGCTCCTCTTTATCCTTCTTCAAGTTCTGCCAACAAGCAAAAATTACAAGGAAATTTAACTCCTGTGGAGACCGCCATCTTCTCCTACAGCCTGATGCTAAAGAATTATTTTAAAAAATAATAGTTTTTTTGTGTGTGTTTAATAATGCTATTTCAGGGATAAAGGCAGAAAGTGCCATTGGACAACATTGCTATAGACAATCTCAAGTTCTGTAGCCCTTATTTGGATCCTCAGTCAAGCAAATTCTCCTAAAAATATTAAGCTAAAAAAAATAATGGGGCCAGGGAGATGGCTCAGTGGAATAAGCACTTCCCTGGCAAGCGCAGAGGCCTGAGTTCAATCCCCGGTTCCGCCAAAAATAAAAAAAAAAACAAATTAGGCTAGCAGGGTAAGTTGAGCCAACTGGGTAGCTGATAGTGTTAAATGATTATTTTAAAAAATAATTTTTTGGTGTTTGATAATGCTATTGTGATTTTTTTTAAAGAAAGGAAATCTTAAGAGGTAAGAGATGCATATTGATATGTAAGTGAAACAAAATGACATATTTCTACAATTTGCTTTTAAATACCAGGAGATGAAACAAGATTGACTTTAAATATTTTGATTATCAGTGAAAGTAGGCATTGAGTACAAGGAAGATTCATTAAAACAATTCTGCCTCGATTTGTCATTTTCTGTAACAGTGGCTTTCTTTTTATACATGTTTGAAATTTTCTGTAATATCATGTCTGAAGTTTTGTATATTTTGTTTGTTTAGTAAGACACATATGAATAGCTAGCAATCTAGATAAAACAGGCTGGATATGTGCTAATTTATATCTCTTTAGCAGCAGCAATCAGCAGCCCTCTGAATGGCTCAAGCTCACAGGTGGACTGTAGCCTCCTGGGAAATCTGCTGGATTTAACAATCAGAGCTCCTCTGTTATCTTCACGTTCTTTGTTCAACTTTGCTTAAAATTTCAAAGTCAGGTTAAGTTTCTTATTTCTTCTCTATCAAAGCAGTATTAGCCCAAGGTTGTTTTACAAACATAAACAGTGCACCATGAACGCAAAAATCTTCTTTAGAAGGTACTCTATAGATTCTCATTTCTTGCCTCTATTTACCAGGAGAACAAAAAGAGAAGTTGGCTTGTGATGGGGGAAAGTACATCCTCTGTACTGCTTTCTCAGCATGTGATGGCACTTGGACCAAAGAAAGAACTTTTAAGGCCTTGGGCCAATTGGACCAACAACAAAGCAGGAGATCAATTTCCTCTACAGAATAGCAAGGCAGATGCATTTGGAGAAGTTGTACCATCTTTTTTTTTTTAATATTTTATTTATTTATTTATTTATTTTGTGTGTGTGTGGCCAGCTCAGCCCACCAGGGGGTGGGGCTGGCTGGCATGTGGTGCTGGGGGATTGAACTGTGGTCCCTGTGCTTTGCTTAAGCTTAGCTTGTTCTAAGTGGGTGCTTTAGACCACTGAGCCATCTCACCAGCCCCAGTTGTACCATCTTTGAGTGGCTTGCTCCAAGTTGCCTTTCTTCATTTGAGTGTAGTTGTAATGTAGGACTCAATGGCCAGAAGTTCCCAACTCTGAATCCCCTAATACAACTGATTTTTTTTTGTAATGCTACACATTTGCATAAATCACAATATTGTAATGTTAATAAAATTTTATTCACAATCTATCTTTGTAAGAGAAATTCCAGTAGATTTCAAAAATAAAGGGTTAAGAGAAGTGCAGGGAGAGAAAGGCTTCAGCCAAGTTGGGGATGATCTCCCAAGTCTCTTTCCATGTCACCACATTCACTCTGTGTTGATGGCTTTTCTTTCCTATCCCTCAGCAAGGTCAGGACATCTTTGCCTAGCTCCCTCTTGGAAGAAGCAGTGTGATGTGTGGATCGTGAACTTCCTCAAGCAAATTAGGCTCTTCATAAGGCACAGCTGGGTGCCAGGACAGAGATGGAAGAACCAGTACCAGTGGAAGGCCAGGGCCAGCTCCCTAGCCCCCACCACGGCTCTTTGAGAAGGGCTGTGGCTGCTGCCCTGGCCCTGGATGGGGAATCCACCATGGGTAGAAAGAAAAAGAAGAAGAAAGAGTCCCGCCCAGAATCTATTATCATCTACCGGTCTGATAATGAGAACATGGATGAGGAGCCGGAGGAAGCAGAAGGTGCAGATCAGCCCAAAGAGGAGGAGGGAGAGGATTTCCTAGACTATCCCATGGATGACGGTGAGTCTGTCTGGGGCCCCTGCAAAATCACAGAAAGGAAACCAAAAGATGATCCTTCTTGCAGGAGGCAGACCAGGGTCTGCTCACATACCTCATACCTGTTTCTTAGTGATACATTTTCCGTGTTGCTGTCATCATTCAGGAAACCAATAATATATAATCAGCATCTATTGTATTCTATTATAGGTGATAGGGAGATCTAACCCTTTCAGAACTCCTAGTAACCAAAGAAGCTGACTTCTATATAAAAATTAGTAACAACAGACGGTGCTAATTATTTAATATAAAGTAAAGGAACAATAATTGTTGGCTTTCATAATAGGAAAATGCAAATTTTGTTAACAATGAGACATAGTATTCCTTCAAATGCATGATTGCTAAAAACTGGGTAATATATAATAATGTGAGGAAATGGATGTACTCTCATGTACCTCATATGGAAATAGAAGTTGCTTCAGCCACTATGTAGGGAATTTATTAATATTTATTAAAATTCAAAATATACATTCGTAAGTCTCAGAAATCCTCAGCATTCCCCCTGGAAACTTATGTGCATGTTCCTCTGCATGTAGAAGAATATTTGTTGTTGTTAGTGAAGTTGTGGAGTGTCTGTACTAAGAATTGTTGAGCTGAAATGGAGAGATGAGATAGTTCTATTTGTATAGATAGATGTATGTCTAAGACAAACCCAGTGAACAAACAACATATTTGCTCTAATAGACTTGATGTTCTAGTCAGGAGATGACCAATACTAAAGGAGCCATCAAATAAAAGATAATTTAAAGTAGAGATATGAGTTCCAAGGACAATAAAACCATGGCAATGGGCAGATGAGTATGGTGAGGTAGAACATCTGTGGTCATGGAAGGACTTTCTGAAGAGGTGACATTTAAGCTGTTCCAAATGGCATGAAGGAACTAGTTAAGATGTTGGGCATGGGGTTTGAAAAGAAGGAACTGAGAGGGCAAAAACCTGGAGGGAGAACAGCATGGGCCATTTATAGAATGGGGTTGTTTCTGGTAGGGAGTAGAGAGAGCAAGGGAAAAATGGTGACCAGATTAGACATGGAGGTGGAGGCAGGAGCATGGTGAGCCATGTAGGTCATAGTAAAAGGCTTGGTGTTTATTATAAATTGAGGAAAAGCCAATGAAGAACTCAATGCAGGAGAGGCATATTTTACAAAGCTCACACTGGCTCCTCTATACCAACTTGACTGCAAAGAACAGAGTAGAAGCTTGTGGGACTCTCCTGTGTCAGTGTAGCTGCACTGGTGCTCATGTAGAAGCTTGGACTAAGATGACAACAGGGTACAGAAGAGAGCTGAGATTCAAAATGTACCGTGGAACTTGATAAGTTGAAGGTAAGGAGGTTGAAAAAGAAAGGAAGTGATACTGATTCTTGGGTCCTTGACAGGAACAATAGAGAGGATAGATACCGGTGTTATTTGTTGAGATGAAGAACTCTTGGAAACCATTAGGTTTGAGGGGGGCAGCAAATCCTTCTATTTGGTAGTCAGGGACCCTGTCACGGTCCTGAGCCTTGCTTTTATGTTCTCTCTTCCAGGCATGGGGGCAGGAGTCATCCAGCCACCAGGCTTGAGGTTGTCCCTGCCTAAACCTGTAGTCTGCCATCTGGCCCCAGACCTCTAGACCACATTTTACATATCAAGCACCATAAACTTCCCTGCCTTAGTAGCTCCAGTTCCTCTTCCAGGATAGACTTCGGCTGGCCATTAGTTTATGTGTATGTTTGTGGTATGGGTATGTATGTGAGGCAAATATGTGGGGGGTGTATGGTATGCATGGCATATAAGGGTGTGGTATGTGGTATGTTTTGGGAATGTGCATATATGTATTGTGTTTACTCATGAAATGTGGTATGTGTTGTATATATGCATGACATGCAGTGTGAGTGTGGTGTTGGTATAGGTGAGGTGTGTGGGGAGTTTGTGTATGGAATGTGAGTAGATGATGTGCGTGTGTGGTATGGGTATATATTTGTACGTGTTGTGTACATGGGAAGATATAGGTGGTGCAGTGTATGTGCATTTGTGTGTAGTATCTGTGTACATCATACTTTTGTGTAATGTGGACATATGGAACTACAAGGGGTAATCAAGTCATGTGGTAGATGTTAAAATTTTATTACAGTGAAGAACACGTTGACATTAATCACCCTTAAATACTCCGTCACTTGAGGCCTATGTATCTTACCATTTTTTCCATTTTCTGAAGCAGTTCTGGAAGTCCTCCTTTGTGTCTAGATGAGATGTGATAAAAAAATGAATGAATGCTGCTGCCAAGTGCCATCCAAGGGAGGCTCACGTAAAGATGTGATGTGTGTTCTTATTTACCTTATTCACCAGACTTTGCATTTTGGCTCTTCCCCAAAGTCAAAATGTCTGTGCAAGGTAAACATTTTGAACTAATTCAGGACATTGACCCAGCTATGATGGAACAGTTAAAAACATGAAAAAGAACTTCCGGAACTGCTTCAGAAAGTGGCAAGAATGATGGAATAAGTGTATTTGAAGTAAAGGGGATTAATAGCAATGTGTCTCTTATTGTAATAAAAAATCCAAATATTCATATTTTTCAACCACATCTCATTCCATATTCTGTGTGTGTGTGTGTGTGTGAGAGAGAGAGAGAGAGAGAGAGAGACAGAGAGACAGAGAGACAGAGAGAGACAGAGACAGAGACAGAGACAGAGAGAGAGACACAGAGAGAGAGAGAGAGAGAAGTACAGAAGAGGGATGTTATGTGTATGTAGTGTGGATCTGGGGGCATTTATGAGGGGTTGGGTAAGTGAGGTGAGGGAAGTAAATGTATGTACAGAGCTTGGACATGAGAGTCATGATGTCCACAGGTATGTGAGAAGCTTCTCAAAAAAGATCTAGCATGCACACACCAGCCAAATGCTCACAGATGCAATCTTTACACACAGATGGAAACTCAGAAACAATATGTTTTCAGCACTTGTTAACTAGCAGGGTCTGTAGTAACAGTCTTTACCCACTCCATGTCACAGAAGTCTTGCCAAGCGTGATATCCCTCAAAGTGGAGCAAGAACAAGAAAAATAAGAAAAGACTGTCTCCCAGTCTTATCATGGTCCAGACCTATGGAATGAGGAGACCTATTTATTTGGTCCAAACCTGAGTCACTGATTCCAACCACTGCTATGCCAGATGCTATAAAAATGACATGTATGCTCAGCCCTAGTCTCAGGCAATGACAGTATGCTGAAATGGTCCCTCTTTAGGTAATCAGCTCAGCTTCTTTGTGCCCTGCAGGTATGTGGAACATGCCTTTGGACAGCCGCTATGTCACATTAACTGGGACCATCACACGAGGGAAGAAAAAAGGGCAGATGGTGGACATTCATGTCACGTTGACAGAGAAAGAGCTGCAGGAACTGACCAAGCCCCAGGAGGCCTCAAGAGAAACAGTACCTGAGGGAAGAAAGGCTTGCCAGGTGGGGGCAGACCAGGGACCCCACGTGGTCCTCTGGACGCTGGTCTGCCTACCTGTAGTTTTCATCCTCTCTTTCATTGTCTCTTTCTACTATGGTACTATCACTTGGTACAACATCTTCCTTGTGTACAATGAGGAGAGGACCTTCTGGCACAAGGTCTCCTACTGCCCTTGTCTCATTCTCTTCTATCCAGTGCTCATCATGGCCATGGCTTCTTCCCTGGGCCTCTATGCTGCTGTGGTCCAGCTCTCGTGGTCCTGGGGAGCATGGTGGCAAGCTGCCCGGGACATGGAGAAAGGCTTCTGTGGCTGGCTCTGTAGCAAGCTGGGTCTAGAGGATTGTTCTCCCTACAGCATTGTGGAGCTGCTTGAATCTGACAACATCTCAGGCAACCTCTCCAACAAGGACCCTACCCAGGAAGTAGAAACCTCTACTGTCTAAACTGCCAACAACTTTCTTTTTTCTCTGGCCTCAGTGGCCTACATATTTCCAGCAGATTTTTTTTCTTTATTGGTAGCTATAATCCAAGAAATGTGGGACCAAATGTGACAGGGATAACAGAGGCTTAGGAGTGACTAAACACTCCAAACAAATACACATGGAGTGAAACATGGGGAGGGGGGAGGGTTTATGGTATAATAGAAAGTAAAGATTTGTATGCATCACTTAGGTTTAGATTGAACTGCATAAAACTAAATCCTTAAAATATCAGTGGTTTTAAACAAGATAGGAGTTTCTTTCTCTGTGGTATAGAAGTCTGGAAGCAGACTAACTGAGGATACTATGACGTTATCGGGATCCTTGTCCTATTAGTAGGGAGTGGTCCTTATTGCCCTCACTTTCAGCGTCTCAGTGCTGACTGCCCCTTGAGCCATCACAGCCATGTTTCTGGCAAAATAGGAGAAGGAGCAAAGAAGCGCACACCCTTCCTGTTTAAGGAAACTTCCCAGAAGTCCCCTCTCCACATGCCTTATTGCTGGTTAGCCAGAACTTAGTCACATGACCTCACAATAGAAACAGGCTGGGAAAGCAATCTTTTATCTGTGTAGCTAGCTATATTCTTAGCTCACTTTTGAGCTTATGGCAAATTGAGAGAAATGGGAGAAACGGTTATTTTGGTAGGCAAGTAGGAATCTTGGCCTTAAAATAATTATTTTAATATATCTCAAATCCCAAACTGCTAATACAGTTTGTTGGAATCACTCATTCATTCATTCTGGCCTGAATTTTTTTTTCTGGCTTGAATCTTATGCAGAGAATTTACATGTAGATATGAGCTATATGCACTAAATGTATATGCAGTATACATAGATATTAGTACCTTGTGTACCTTGTATTAACCTTCTGTAATATCATGTTGTTCCTTTGGAAAGAAATAGTGGATAAGAGAGTACATAACTCTTTTTCCTTGTGGCGGAGGTTGAACAGGGATTGGTGATATTTAATTGAATCTATAGATTAAAGACTGGGAAGGGGAAGTGGGTTACATCTGCCAAATATGCTGCCAGCAGGAATCAGCAGCTCTCAACATGAACAAGCCAGATTTAGCCTTCTGGCAAAACCTCACTCTCAGAGCGTCACTCACTCAGACCCTTTTAGTGTAACAGTAAAATGGTCCTCTTGCCTTGTGGGTACACACCAGGATAATTCAGATTAAAAGAGTCTGATTTAAAAAAAAAATCCTAATAGTGGCCTAATTTCAAAATATCAAACCCTAAGGGGCAAAAGATTTTGGGGTCTTCCTTACATAAAAAGTTGGTGCTTATTACTGTTCATGCCTTAGAAGGAAGATGTTGGAAAGAACTGCTGTCAATCAAACCAGAGGGGTCATCAGCGATGTCCCTGCAAAAGACCAGGGACATCTGCTGAATGTATGGTGTTCTACTCCACTTTCAGAGGAACCAAATTTTAAGATTAACTCTCATTAGTTTGACCAGAGTGGGGAAAATGTGCCCAGCATTTTTGAAGACAATCTTGGTGCTTTCTGGTACAATTTCAGAGAGATGAACAATTGAAAGAAGATAAAGAAAATAAAAAAAAATTCTAATTAACCTTTGTTTGATTTTCTTTGAGGCCCTTCAAACTAGTTTTGAATGCTATGGTTTGTAGAAAAAGGGTAAACCTGGTGGCTGTTCTGTGTGTCATTAACATATGTAATAATGTTAATATTGATTCTTAAGTCTTGATTCTCTCCATGCACTACTAAGTTTTGGAAGTTTTATTTTTTATTTTCCCTGCTTTTTATGTATTTGGTACAGTTTCAGTGGCTGGCTCAGCATGGGGCAGGGATGGCGTGGCATGTGGTGCCAGGGATCAAACCCTGTTCCCTGTGCTTGCCTAAGCAGGTGCTTAGTTTGCTTGAGCTATCTTGCCAGGTCAGTTTTGGGAGGTTTAGATGAATTGTTTTCAAGAGTCACATTTTTACCTAAACCTACATTAAAAATATCACAGTCCCCTTTATCATATTTTTCTGTCATACTGGACCAGGAAACCAATGGTCAAAGACAACAGTCATATTAGCAGAAGGGGAAGGTGGACATAGTGGATTAGAGGGACAGGGCAGTGGGTGAAACTACTCCAAAAGGATATCTGGATGAAATTATAGTCTTTGCCATAGCTAGACTCATCACATAATGCAAGGGAGAAGTGTTTAAACCAAAATCACTTGACAAAAAAAACCTCTAAAGAGGTGTTTTATTCCTAGACTAGACGAATAAAAACTGGGCCCATCGTTGGGTATGGGAACCCATGTCTATAATCCCAGCACTCAGGAGGTTGAGGTGGAAGGATTGCCATGAATTTGAGGCCAGCTTGGGCTACATAAGCAAGTTCAAGGACAGTCTGCAGTATATGGAGGGGCCCTGTCTCAAAAAACAAACAAACAAACTATCAAGCAGGATTCTAAAATTATAGCAGTGATGATTATTATTCCCAGTCTCTGACACAAGCAGGTATATAACATTCAGCATTCCAAGTGGTAGTACTGTGTGCTAGAAATGTGTACACTATATCTCCAAGGGCACAAATAAGTCATTGCACGTGCTATTAATTTCATTTCCTTCTGCACAATCTTTTAGTTTTAAATCTGTCTACCAAATCTTGACTCAGACATTTGTTTTTTGAATTAGTACATCAGCGTCAAATTATCTGGATAAGGACAGTAAAAGCTTCTCAACTTTTAAAATACAAATATTCCAAATTATTGATAAAGAACTCTATAAATATTACAAGCAAATACTGTTGATAACCAGATGAAGCAGCATGTACTATTTTAAAATTATAAAACAATTTCTACTATATTTAGATACACTGAGACAAGTAGAAGTTTTCTAGACTATTTAATCAAGTTATTTCCAAGGTACACATTTCTGAGTATATACCATTGTGACACTGTTTATTCTGAAATTTTTTCTGCATTCAGCTTAAAAGGTGTTTCTTCCCAAGAAACTGAACTTTTCTATCAAATGCGCTTGATCGAATAGGAGAGTTGGGTTCATAAAATGGATTCATTGCAAACTTTATATACAAATCATAAACCTCAGTAAAGAAGTTCTTTATTCCATCTTCTTGCCTTATATCATGAAGCATAATAAATCTCATATGGCCAGCAGTGACAAATGCTGACACAAACCACTCATTAAATTTGTCCACAGTTTTCAAGTACATGTTGTTTGAAAGCCACATGTTTTCATCCACAAGGTCAAGTGCAGCATGAGCGATGAATTGGTTCAGATGGCGATGATCATCCTTGGATTCTGCTTTCCCAGCTGGCAAAAATTCCATTTCAAAAACTGGATTATCATGGTGGCCAACGATTACAAAGTAGAAGCTTCCAGACATTGTCTTTAATATATGGCTCCTGCCAAGTGAGATACAGACAAAGGAAACACCCAGTCAATTCTTCAGCATTTCAGTTTTGAGAGAACTCTTGGGTTTGAATAAAAAAACTGGAAGAACTCCTGGGTGCTATAACCAGAGTCTGAAAGTATCTCTCTGGGGTTCTATGTATTTACTATGTAACTCTGGCTCCCTCAAGACCGCTCCCCTCCCCCTCCCCTCCCCTCCCCTCTCCTCTCCCCTCCCCTC